GTGGTGTTCACAATTTCGCTGTCTTCCAGGGTCAGCCGCGCCCGGCCCGCCACACAGATGATGGCGCAAAGCGAGGCGGCGGGGGCGCCCGCCACGTCGCGCACGCTGCTGTTGACGAGGCGAACCGTTGTGTCGCAGCCGATGCTCAGTAAGCAGCATCTGGAGCTTTTGACTGCGCCGCCCTGCCCCGCAGGGAGCGGAGCCAGGCCCTGGAAGCCTGAGGCAAACGGGCTGAGCAGAGCCCGATGCCAGTACAGCTCAACCCCGCCACTACCACCGCTGCCGCCACTGCCACTGCTGATAGGCTTGCAAGCTATGCGTGCGAAAGCTATGTCACCCGCCAATCCGCCTGTCACGTCCACATGGCAGACGGCAGCGGCCCCACTCTGCTGTTGGGCGGTGACAGCTGCTGCGGCAGCTGCAGCAGCGCAGCCAACGAAGCAGAGCCACGTTTGTGCATGGCGCAGCCGCTGTACCATGAACGCGGCCCGTCGCTGTGTGGCTCTCGTGCCTGGAATTTCACTTGTCACATGCGAAATAGCGGAGAGCAACGGAGATGTCAGGTCCATGGCACCTGTGCGCATGCAGAGGAGAGCGCTGCAGAGCTTGGCACTTGTTTCAGCGCAGGATCGCTCAGCGACGTGCGGCTGGAGGATGCTTTGCTGTTTGCAGTCACCGGTGTCTTCTCTGCTATCTGTACGTCCCACTAGGTCACCTGCTTGTCCAGACGGCCCAGGCCCGATGGAATCTCTGGGCTGCTCGCCTCACCGCGCTGCTGCCCGCAGGTACAACACATGATTATCATATCAAGGTTCTGAACACCTTCAGGATCCGATTTGTTCATTTCGGTGCAGCGAGGCCTGGAAAGTCAGTATTGATCAATTGAGGCGATCACCCTTCAGAGGAGTGTCGGATGGGGGATGTTCAGGGTGCGAACCAGTCATACAGTATTTAAAATTGTCTCCCTATATTGAGTCCATGTGGCCCTGGCGGCCAGACACCAGTTTGATCTTCAGGTTCCTAAGGAGGGCTGCTCTAGTACAGCGTTCTTTGCTCCGAAGCACTGATCAAGATGTGCCGTTCCATGCACGGTGGGTGACTCGTTCAAGCGCTGCAGTGCCTACGCCAGCTGTGCCGCTTCAATGTGCTCCACCCCACCATCGACCACCATGGTCGTGCCCGATGATCCATCGCAGAGCATGCGACTGCTGATTATATACCAAATGCTGTTTCTTGCAGCGAATGAGGCCCCGCAAAGCAGGGCACGGCATAGCGGGCGTCAAGCGGCGGTGCATTGCCCTGGTGGCGGCGCTGCTGGGTGGGTGTGCCACTGCTGCAGCAGCTGCCGCCGCCGCCCGAGGGCAGCATGCGGCCACCTGCCAGGTGAAGGTCGCAGGCGGTCCTTTGGGTGGTATATCAGCTGCGCGCATAGCTTGCCAGCCTGGCGGCGGCGGCAGCGGCAGCAGTGGCGGGGTTGAGCTGTACTGGCATCGGGCTCTGCTCGGCCCTTTTGCCGCAGGCTTCCAGGGCCTGGCTCCGCTCCCCGCGGGGCAGGGCGGCGCAGTCAAAAGCGCCAGATGCTGCTTACTGAGCTTGAGCGGCGACACAGCGGTGCGCCTGGTCAACAGCAGCGTGCGCGGCGTGGCGGGCGCCCCTGCCGCCTCGCTTTGCGCCATCATCTGTGTGGCGGGCCGGGCGCGGCTGACCCTGGAAGACAGCGAGATTCTGAACACCACA